TGTTGTACTTTATGACGCATTCTGTTCAGGGTCCATGGTTAGACAGTGCACCCTCCGGCTTTCTTGTCTGCTTTGATGCTTAGACCGACCATCTCTGTTCCATGGTAGCCACACAGTTAGCATTTCCTGCCCTAAACCACATCATGACAAAGCACAGTTAGACTTCCAGGTGCTCTTGCCCTCCCAACTCCTTATCCTGAACCCACTGGTTCTCAAAGTGAGAACTTGACCAGCAAAAGCAGCCTCAGCGTCACCCAAGAACTTGTTAGAAATGTGTCTTAGTTATCTGGCACTGCTCAAACAGAAATACCACAAGTGGATGGCTTTAACAAAGAGAAGTTTATTCTCTCACAGTCCAGTAGGCTACAAGTCCAAATTCAGGGCATGAGCTCCAGGGGAACGCTTTCTCCATCGGCTCTGGAGGAAAGTCCGTGTCATCAATCTTCCCTTGGTCTGGGAGCTTCTCTGCACGGGAACCTCGGGTCCAAAGGACGCACTCTGCTCCCAGCACTGCTTTCTTGGTGGTATGAGGTTCCCATGTGTCTCTGCTTGTGTCTTTCTTTTATATCTCAAAAGAGATTGGCTTAAGACGCTATCCAATCTTGTATACCTCATCAGTATAACTGCTGCTAATCCATCTTATTAGATCATAGTCATTGAATTTACAACACATAAGGGAATCACATCAGATTACAGAATGGTACACAATCATACAATACTAGAAATCATGACCCAGTGAAGTTGACAGATATTTTTTGGGGACACAATTCAATCAATGACAAAATGCATATTCTTGGGCCACACCACAGACTTACTGGGCCTGGGGCCCTGTAGGGATAGGGCCCAGCAATCTGTGTTTTAACAAGCTCGGCACAGGATTGTGATTTATTAAAGCCTGAGAATCGCTATCTCAACCTGTCTAATCAATCTTTTCTCCTGCCTTCTGCCTTCCTGCTGTTAACACTTGAATAATTTTGGTAGGAAACATGATTGAAGGTCATAATGTACCATTTTGAAAACCATTATTACAGATCATTTTAGAAGGCTAGGTCAGGCAGCAAAGTTCCAGTATTCAGTGAGCTTTTGCTCATTCGTGATAACAAGAGTTGATGATGACCTAGATAAATGAAGGTACAGTAATCATTAGGAATCATCTTTATCAGCAGATTTAACTTCTTCATAGGGGGAAAAACAGTTTTTTTTAATAGTAGTAATTTTAAAATGCTGGTAAAGATGCTGATGAGCAGTGCTGGTGAATAGTCAAAAGATGTGGTGAGCCTTAACAGTCTTCAAATTAATCGAAGTTGGGATTGCCAAACATTAGGCCAGCTAGCACCTTAGCTAGATGATGGGTGAGTGGGTTCATTGTATTAGTGTTTCTACTTTTGCATAAGTTTAAAAATCTTATAATAAATTTTTTAAAAATAATAATTACTCAAAAGTAGCCACACCATTCCATCCCCATGTCACATGGATCCGAATAAAATGGCCTTTGCTCTTGTCACAACCCTCTTGGTCAAAAATGATATTAATAATGACATTGTTGTGCATATTGAATCGTTTTATTTTACTGCGTATGTATGTACGTGTGTGTGGATGGATGAATAGATGGATGATGGATGGATGGATGGATAGATAGATAGATAGATAGATAGAACATGGTTATCAATGTTAATGCTGAAGAAATGGCCAATAGCCGAGATATTTGTGTGGTCTGTGCATTGCTGGGAACAGACAGTGTAAATAGAAAAACCTTTCTGGAAGACAGTTTCACAAAATCCAGATATGCATCACTAGACATTCAAATATTAATATTCATAAACTTCATTTCTTGGAATCTTTTCTAAAGGGGGATAAATTTTAATTGCAGAAAAAATTTTATACAGGAAGATGCTCATCATAATAAATTTTTCATACTAGCATAAAACATTGGAAATTAATTTTGTGACCAACCATGGGAGAGAGATAAGTTACCATCTGTATATTCAGTCAGTATAGTCACTAAGATGATAGTTACAATAACTGTATTGCTTAAAATGGAAAGTAAAGACAAAATTTCATACCTAAGAAGATTAAAACTGTATAAAAATATGCACAGAGAAAGAAACTTTCTGTTCAGGTAGTGATATGGTCAGGGTCTTATTTCTCCTTTTTTCTCCCTTTTTTATTTTTTTCAAGTGGAAAATCCATAGTTAGAAGTTATGACAGTGAAATCCAAGGATAATTTTCTTTCTGAGGTGGTTTGGGCCTTTGTGAGTTAGCAAAGGTACTTTTAATCCATAGGGAGCTAAACTTTCGAGATTCAGGAGGATGGAGTACAACTCGAAGAATGTAGTCACTGTCACGGAATTGTACATGTAGAAACGTTTGAACTGTATGTTTTGCTGTGTATATTCTCAACAACAACAAAATAAATAAAATTAAAAAAAGAGGAATGACTGATATTACTTCTCTGTTACTAGCAAAGCCTCTAGTGCTAAAACCGAGATTCATAGAGTCTAAAGGAATTCACTGCAGTTGTTTCTGTTTTTTCTGTAATGTTGCTTCCATGGCACTTGGAACTGATAAAGCCCCTGATAACCATTCAGTTGCATCTTTGCCCTAAAGAGGCAGAACGTGGCAGGAGCCCCTAGACCCCCTTGTCCTCTGCTTTTCTTGTCCGGTATCTTTATTGTACTCGGACCATCAAGAACCAAAGTTGGTTTCCTAGAGATGTATTATACTGAATGGCAGCTGCATCCTTATTCTAGCATCTGGGAACTTCAAGCAAAGCTACTTCCCACGGAGTCAGTGTGAACGTGCTAAATTAAAGCATGTTAAGAGAACTAGGGACCATCCACTATGAGATGGTTGTACGTTAGCGCCACACCGCAGCCCCTTCCCGGCCAGAAAGCTCCCGGTTCAGCTGTGTGACTTCCACAGCATTGGCCTTAGAGTCTGCTCTGCTCCTGTTCTGTTATTAATGAGGAGTAAAAATAATATTGTTCATCATAATGATGATAACTTACTACTGCTACCATTTGGGGGATGCAAAAAGGCCAAATGGAAAGAAGAAAAAAACAAAAAAAAACAAATCCTTAAGTGCCAATGCTTTATATTGTCTGCTTCAGATGGCTTTATGGTGTTTATTATATTTTTTCTATGTTTATAGAAGATTCGGGTCAAATATGTGTCCTCGAACCATATGTTGTCTAAAGCCTGTCAGTTGGTAGGTTGAACCTCGGAGTCCCTGGGTGATGCAAATGGTTAACACACTTGACTGCTAACTGAAAAGCTGGAGGTTCGAGTCCACCCAGAGGTGCCTCAAAAGAAAGGCCTGGCGATCCACTTCTGAAAAATCAGCCACTGAAAACCCTGTGGAGCACAGTTCTACTCTGACACACATGAGTTGGAGTCAGCTCGACAGCAATTGGTTCACCGGTTCTGTTGAACATACATTTCACGCATGCTAATGGGACAGCCACTGGATCACTGGTCCTGTTGAACGTACATTTCACCATTCTAATAGGAAGGGGGTTGAGGGTAGGGAGGAGGTGGAGGAATCCTTTGCTTCCGTATACTGTGGATGTATAAAGTCAAAACCATGGGAGTGCAGAGTGAAAGTAAGCGATTATTTATCCAAGATTAACCTTGGAGTCATTTCACTGCCTTATTTCCACAAGGAAGCCATCTTTCTTCTGCTTTTGACCAAGGCAGTTGCTTCGCCGCTGCTGTCTGTGTTTCTGACGAGGCATAACTTATCGTCTTTCATCTGGGTGTTGATTCATCTCATCGGAACGACTTCCAATCCTCTTTAAAAATTAATTTGACTTTAATGTCTCATTATGGAGGACTCCCTTGGGCTAGGATTAAATTGCCCTGGAGGAATTTTGATTTGACAAATAGCCGTTGTAGAGAAGCCTTTGATCCTCCGCCATGCTGGTAACTAACTGTCCCTCGAGCTGTCGCTGTGAGCAAAATCAAAGTCTGCGTCAACACTGGGAGAATCCTTACTTCCGAGCCAGCCTTGGGCTGCTGCATCTCGGAGCTTAGAGCTTTCCCACATGTTTATCCGCCTAGAGAAATTGGGCTCAGGTGGACGTAAACAGAGTACCAAAAACCAACCCAGTTGCTGTTGAGTCCATTCTGACTCATGGCGACCCCATGTCTGTCAGAGTAAAACGGTGCTCCATAGGGTTTTCAGTGGCTATGATCTTTCAAAAATAGATCGCCAGGCATTTCTTCTGAGGCTCCTCTATAGACTCAAACCTCCTGCCAGCCTTTTGGTTAGCAGCCGAGCGTGTTGCCGTTGGCAGCACCCAGAGACACCATAAACAGAGGACAGGATGAGTTTTTTTCCTAGGCTCTTGGAGTTTTTCCTGGGCTTTGGTGATGTTGAGTGACATGAAGCCCTTCACTCCCTAAAGTAGGAATTCCTGGTCCTGGTTTTCTAGTCTCTGAGACCTGCTCAATTTTTCCAAGTTTTCAAAAATTATAAAGAAAAATTAGTTTTAATTCATCTTCATTTTAAAAAGTGCATACAAAATGTGGTAGATTATGGTTAGGAGGATAGAGAGAAAGCAGGAAAATAGCTGAAAAGTCATTGAAAGTTACTGCCCCAGTGGTTAGATGCCCTGCCCTATCTCTAAAGATAGAATAAACCAAAAAAAAAGAAAACCAAACCCATTGCTTGCAGACCATTCTTACTCACAGTGACCCTATAGGACAGAGTAGAACTGCCCTATACGGTTTCCAAGGAGCGCCTGGTGGATTTGAACTGCCAACCTTTTGGTTAGCAGCCATAGCTCTTAACCACTATGCCACTAGGGTTTCCAAAAATAAAATAAGTATCATTCAAAATAAAATAAGTGTCATTAAAAGCATAAGACCACATGGAGACCTCAGATACTGACCTTGATAAAGACTGCTCAGAAGCATCTGCTCTCGGTTAGCAGGCTGGAAGGAGCTGCTTTTCCTGGTAGGCAGACATCATCTAACTCTGCAATCTCCTTCTCTGACAGATGGGGAGCTCTCCATATCCAATGAAGATGACTCCCTGGAAAACGGGCAGTCCTTGAGCTCCAGTCAGCTGTCTCTGCCTGCGCTGTCCGAGATGGAGCCAGTCCCCATGCCCCGGGATCCCTGTTCATATGAGGTGCTCCAGGCTTCAGACATCATGGACGGGACAGGTAATGTGCCCCCACAGAGATGAGTGGGTCCCCAGACTGTGGTGTCGGATACCATCCACCTGGCTGGACCTGGGGTTCCCTTTTGGACCATCTTGAGCATAGGGATCTGGACGTGTGGATGAAACCAACCCATTAGAACATACTGAGTATAAAACATAAGGAGGATGTGTGCCTTTTGATAATATTCTTGACAACCTCATTCATTTACTGCAGCATCACTTTTGCCTTAGCATATGGAGGATATTTCCATTTATTGTTATACATACAGTTTTTTAAAAAAAATTTAATAACCTTGATCTCATTAAAGAAGATGTGCCTTGTTTGTAATATTGAGTTAAAATGCCATTTGTTTTATTTTCTAACACTCATTTTGGTTAAGATAGAGCTCAATACTCTTGCACTTCTGTATGGTACCTGTCTGATTCACCTGTTAGAAAGGCCCTGGGCAGGCCCTTTAATCCTGATCCCACTCCACCAGTAGTAATTACTGGCGAAGTTGTATTCTGCCTGTAGATGATCACTGATGTCACCTGACTGGTCCACAGTCTTCTGAGCGGCCAACACACATTCTGTCAGGTCTGCAGGGTGCTCCTCGTTAGCCAGAAAGCGGGTCCCTCCCTGCACCAGTGAGGGGTTGTACGTGCTGTTGAAGAGATGGGTGTGGGGAAGGGACCTCCTGGGTAGAAAAGTCACGTCCTTTCCCCAACCATGGTGCATAGTGATTAAGAGCTATGGCTGCTCACCAAAAGGTCGGCAGTTCGAATCCACCAGCCACTCTTTGGAAACCCTATGGGGCAGTTCTGCTCTGCTATAGGGTTGCTATGAGTCGGAATCGACTTGAGGGCAATGGGTTTGGTTTTGGTTTTTTTCCCAACCGTGCACAAAATCCACGTCAGCAGGAGCTCCCGTAGGAGGAAGGGAGAGATGGTGTGTCTCAAGTTAATTCCAGGGCTTCACTCTGGGACCTGGTGAGTCACTGCCCATCAGCGGGTCAAACACCGATAATAGTAGTGCCCCCTGAGACGAGGGGAGAGCTTAGTGCTCATGAGGATTATTGCCGGGCTTTGAGGCTGCCAAGAGCCCTGCTACCCAGACTAGGGAGGAAGAAGAGGGTGGGGGAGGGAGGGGTCCCATGTAGACGTTCTTATTGTGGCGGTGATTGAGACCGGAGGCTGTGCAGTTGAGTGACATTGTTCTCCCCCAGGAGATTTTTTCCAACTAAAGCAGTGACTTTTTTTTTTTTTAATCCAACCTTCCTCGTGACATTGCAATGTGATGGATTTGACTGTTGTAGTGAAATCTGTCATCCCTGTCACAAGGCTTCTCTGTCATCGGCCCAGGCTGGAACACAGTAGTGAGGTGTGTGCCACCTCCCCGTGACATCTCTTCCCGGAGCCAGCCGGGGGTGCCCTGTGGGGAAAGAGAGAGTCAGGCTCAGTGCAGAGCAAAGAGAAGTGGGGAGAATCGAGACAAGAAAACCACGATCGTGGGGAACCAGAGGCAGGAGGAAAGGGGGAGACGAAAGGCGTGGATTTGAAGCAGCCTTTGCTTTTTCAGAGTTTGTAGGAGCTGGGAGGGGCAGATTACTGAGCTCGAGGCTGCTGCTGAGTGCTGAGCACCCTGGAACCTGGAACGGGAGAAGCAGCCACCTAAGGCGTGGGGTGCTCAGCTGAGCGTCAGCCTTCTGGGCAGTTTGTTACCTGGTGTTCCAGAACCACAGAGCAAGACCCCACAGGCAGACACAAGACCCCCAAATCCCCTCTCTCTCCCTCCCTGGGAAAGGGCAGACAGGCCCAAATGAAGATGCTCAGCACTGGTTCTGATTCAGTTTAGAGGGGGCTGGCTCTCCGTCCTGGATCTACTACATTTGCATCCTGTTGATCGTTGCTGAGGTCATGAGTCACGTTTTACAGCATCAAAGAATGTGCATTCCAAATACCAAGCTTGACACTGTGATGCTTTTCATGGTTTTAAGCAAATGTTCTCTTCCGTCTTTCCCCTCTTGCTCTTCCCACCTCTCCCACTTCTTTTCCTTTGCCTCCCCGGTTCCCTACACCCAGCTCTCCATCCCTATTGCCTCCCGGGGTCCCTCCACCCCCTCTCTGTCCCTGTTGCCTCCCCGAGTCCCTCCACCCTACTCCCCGTCCCTATTGCCTCCTGGGGTCCCTCCACCCCCTCTCTGTCCCTGTTGCCTCCCCGAGTCCCTCCACCCCACTCCCCGTCCCTATTGCCTCCCGGGGTCCCTCCACCCCCTCTCCATCCCTATTGCCTCCCGGGGTCCCTCCACCCCCTCTCCGCCCCTATTGTCTCCCCTGTGTCCCTTCACCCCCTCTCCATCCCTATTGCCTCCCTGTGTCCCTCCACCCCCCTCTCGGTCCCTATTGCCTCCCCGGGTCCCTCCAGCCCGCTTTCCGTCCCTATTGCCTCCCGGGGTCGCTTCACCCCCTCTCTGTCCCTATTGCCTCCCCGAGTCCCTCCACCCCCTCTCCGCCCCTATTGCCTCCCGGGGTCCCTCCACCCCCTCTCCGCCCCTATTGTCTCCCCTGTGTCCCTTCACCCCCTCTCCGCCCCTATTGCCTCCCGGGGTCCCTCCACCCCCTCTCCGTCCCTATTGCCTCTGGGGGTCCCTCCACCCCCTCTCCGCCCCTATTGTCTCCCGTGTCCCTTCACCCCCTCTCCGTCCCTATTGCCTCCCCGGGTCCCTCCCCCCGACTCTCCATCTCTGTGGGACTCCTGGTGTCCGCTCTAACTTTCTGCACGTCTCTGAGCACTCGGAGTGGTAGGTGCCCGGTGGCATTGCCGGCCGGCGTCCCTGTCCTTCGCTCCCGCCCCGCCGTGCCGGCCCCGCGCTGCTGTTCGCGTAATGTCTCCTGTGTGTCCTGTGGTTGTGTCCTCAGTGTCTGAAGAGAGCCCCTCTGCCGGTGAGTCTGGAGCCCTCCTGTCCCAAGATCCTTCAGCCAAACCAGTCCTGCTACTGCCCCCCAAAAAACCTGCTGCTTTCTCTGGAGACCATGAGGAGACCCCAGTGAAGCAGCTCTCCCTTCTCAAGCAACCCCCTGCCCTGCCTCCCAAACCCATTGCCAGGATTGCCAACCATTTAACAGGTGAGTCACAGCTCCGAGGGCGTGGGCCCCCTCCTTCCCTTCAAGGGATGATGCTTGCTTGTTCTGCTTTTTGTCCGAGTGTGCCTCTCTTGGGAGGTGGCTCTGTGGGGTGTCGGGTGTCTCCGTGTGAGTCTTGGTACACGCGTTTGTGATCTGGGGTTATGTGGTTTGCGTCCTTCTAGAAGCACATGAAACACACCTAGCAGTCCTCTGCTAAGAGTCTTCCATCACGTGTATCTGTAAATATGTTCATTTGTATCTATGTGGCCCATTGAACGTGATATGCCAATCTACGTGAATTTGATTTAACTTCAAAATCTATGCAAAGATAGAGAGTAGCGCCTTGTATCCTTCAAAATGAGTTTGTCAGGGCTTTTATTTATTTATTTTGTCTTTAAATTATTAATCTAAAGCCAGTATATTTCTTCAATTAAAATTCACTTGGGTGCTATTTGTTCTCTCAAAAAAAGCAAAAAACAAGTATGTGCAAAGTATTGTGGGAAATATATTTTTAAAAGAGTAAACTCAGGAACATTGACAGAAAATGATTTTTTATTCTTTATTTTTAAAGTGTTCCTTAGTGAATGGACCCACAATTATTAAATTGGGCATGTAGTAGAATTACTGTTAGGTATTCACTAGCGCGTGAATCAGATATCACTGTGAGATTTAAGGTTGTGGTATAATCAGGGATAAAAAGCTTTCTGAGGATTGTTTTTCCAGCGTTAATGGTAATCCCACCTGATACTGGGTGGGATTTTTTACACGATGTTTGGTATTTTTACAGGCAGTGTGTAATTGATCTCTATAACATTTTTGTGAGGTGTAATGAGGGTGGAGGTAGGGAAGAATATTCACCTGTTTTGTAGATAGAAAAGCTGAGGTTCAGGAAAAGTAAGTGTCTTTTCCAAGGCTGGCAGGGATTTTGCAGCAAAGCCAAGATGAGACCCTGTGTTTCGCAGCTCCTGCTCGTTCAATGCATGTTATTTCCGTAATGCCGGGGTGTCTCTCAAGTGGCCTGAGTTTTTTTTAGAATCCAGTTTAGACCTAGGGTAGTGTCAAGCTAATCTATTAATAAACACATCCACCCAGGTCTGACTTTGTGATTTTAAAGAGCAAATTTCCATTTAAAGGAACCATTCAACATGTTAAGAACATTTTAGTTCAGTGCCCAAAATTTAAATTCATGGAAAACCACGGAGGGAAAACAGCATTAGAAAGAGGTAATGCCCATCTGTCTGCCCACTCACTACGCATCCATCCATCCACCCATTCATCCATCCAACCATCCCTCCATCCATCTGTATCTACCTAATAGAAAATGAATATTGCTCTACATACTGTCTTATCACCTGCTTTTTGCACTTAGTGGTATCTTGTGGACTAATTCGTCTGTCAGTAAATATTCCACAACATGATTTTATTAGCTGCTTGGTATAGATCAGGATTTACCTGATTGGTCCCTGAGGGTTTTTCTGTATTCTCTGCTGTACAAAACACAACAGCAAGCATCCATGTACATATATCTTTATAAGGATCTCTCATTTTCCCCTGATTTATTCCTAAAGTGTTCCCCTAATTTGTTGAGTCAAAGGTGTGTTCTTTTTAAGGACTTGATGCCAGTTTTCTCTTGAGAAAGATTAATTATTGCAAAATATACCTCCACAAGTAGCACCCATTTATTCAATCCATCTGCAGGCGGAATGCATCCTTGGGTGGCACAAACAGTTAAATGCTTGACTGTTAACCAAAAGGTTGGCAGTTTGAACCCACCTAGAGACACCTCGGAAGAAAGACCTGCCAATCTGCTTCCAAAAGGTCACAGCTTTGAAAACCCTACGGAGCAGTTCTACTTTGCACACGTGGGGTCGCCTTGAGTCAGACTCGACGGCAACTAGTTTGTTTTTTTGTTTGTTTGTTTTGATAGGCTGAATACTGTGCTAGACATCAAAGAGGACACAAATATATGAGTTTTATAAAATATATATACATAAATAATCGAGTGCCAAGAGAAATACTGTACAGAATAGTCCTTGTGGTGTAACGCAGACTGATAAAAGGGTTATTGGAGGAGGCTGAACTTGAACTGTCCCTGAAGCATGAACAGCCTGTAGAGAGAATGAGGGAAGGGTGTTCCAAGAAAGAATACCTGGACAGAGGCTTGGGGGGACGATGAGGATGGCCTGGTTTGGGTCAGTGAGGAGGTAGGTGGCTGAGCTGGGTGGAGGGCTCATCTCGGGGTGCCCTGAGAGAATGGATTAACTAGGTGGGGCATATGAGGATTTAGATTTCATTCCCTAGGCAGTGCAAAGCCTTGGAAAGTTTTTGAGCAGGGGCATTGTGTGATGAAATCTAGCCTTTAAAATCTTTTCCTCTGTTACCGTGTAGGATGAGCAGAAAAAGGAGAAGATTGGAGGCCTATCAGGGAAGCCACGGGCCAGCCCTACGCGCTATACGCCCAAATCTCTTGTTGAGTTAATTTGAACTGTTAGAGTCAGAGAGACTCCTTAGGAGGCTATTCCAGTCGTTCCAATATGACTTCCGCACCATCTGGACATAGCAGTGTCTTGGAAGAGAGAGAGGGACAGGTGGAAAAGACGTTTTAAAAGAAGAAGTGACAGAATTGCTTAACTAACACCACCCGCTAATTTATCTTAATTACCTAATTAATGGAGGCACACTTGAGCTTCAGCTGTGAACCCTGGAGCTCGGGTAGCCTGGTATCCATTGCACTCTTTTGATATATGCAGGGACTGAAGATACCTAAATTAGCCCAATCTATGTGTCTTTACTGGCCCTTTCCCAAGGAGAGTGGGCCGTTATCTGTGAATCTTATGTTCACATAGCCTGGGTCGATAGATAAAAATATTTAAGGTAATATCCTGACCATAGCGTACCTCTTAAACATGATAAAGACCAGACAGGTAGAGATGTCTGTAGGCTATGAGTCTCGTGGTATCCTTCAGGGTTTAAACTTCATGAGACTGGCTTAATTTTTGTAAGTGAGCAGTCAGTCATAATGAATCAGCATCACCATGAGACAGCCACGTTAACCCTGTTCTGTTACTAATTACTCCAGAGACACCTGGGCCATGTCAGAAAGAATTAGTCAGCTAAGAATTCTAGAACTGGGGTCACCATGAGTCAGAGGTGACTCAATGACAAGTGGTGGAGTCCCTGGTTGGTGCAAACAGTCAATGTGCTCAGCTGTTAACTGAAAGTTCCAGAGATGCCTCAGAAGAAAGGCCTGGCAATCTATTTCTGAAAAATTAGCCATTGAAACCCCTGTGGAGTGCAGTTCTACACACATGGGGCCACCGCGAATAGGAATCGACTCAGTGGCAACTGTTTTTTTTAAAGTGAGACTTATGCTTTTCGTATGTTCTCGATGTTTCTTTGTTTTGTTGTTTTTAAATTGGCTTTTTTGAAAGAAAGGACAGTGGGAAAGACACCACGGAGGGTTAGTAGAGTGACAGTGGTTAATGACCTGGTAGAATGCTGGAGGAAACAGGACCCTGAAGTAGGACTTCGTCCGGACATATGCTCAGAGAAAGAAACGCAGAAATGCTTCTGCCTCAGCACTTGTTTTCACACTTCAGGAAAATCACAATTAACTTGGAGGACTGTTTATCTTAGAAAATTTCTCTCTTCTTCAGCCAGGTAGAGGGAAGCTCTCGCTCTCCCAAACTTCTTTCTCCTTCTCCTGCCGTCATCCTCCGATCTCGTCTTCCCCACCATAGCATGCACGGTGGTCAGTGGTATATAGCATGCGTGGTGGTCAGTGGTGGCTGGACATCGGATTCCCTTCCTTTCTGGAGGTACAGCACCCAGCAGGGCTCGCTACATAATGAATATGATCTGAGGCGAATGGGTCTTAACATGCATCCTTCTTGGAATGATGAACGACCCCAGAAGAAAAGGGAGATTAAGGCAAAACCACTGTCTCCTACCTTTCTACGTCTTCATCTTTTTTACTTATTTTTTTCCCCATCAATCACCTTTCCGGCCATGCTAACTCCAGAGGCCAAATGTTAAACATGGCATGAATGCGTGCCTTCTGCGTATATGTACCTGGAATAGGCACCCACGGGTGTCTGTTGCATGGAGGATAATCACCTTCCCTGGGAGCTGGACTTCTCAGTCTGACTTTCACACTTGGGGAACAGTAATGGCGGCTGCCACTTCTCGGGAACTTGACAATCCACCCTTTCATTCCAGGAGGTCGATACTATCACCACTATTATTTCCTTTTCCCATAGGAAGAAAACGAAACTTGGAGAGGTAAAATGACCTGGTTATGGTTATATAGCTAGAAAGTAACAGAGATAGGCTTGAACACATTTTGTTTGACTCCAGAATCCTCATGTATAATCATTATTTTATACCTCCTCCAACAAAATACCTAGTCGTAAAATCCAGGAAAACGTCATCATCAGCTTTTTGTGGTGTCTTGCTTTGGATGTTTTAATACACTTCAGAAATTCAAAATTCTGCCCCTTTATTGTTGTAACTCAAGGACAAAAAATTATCCAGTCTTTCAACAATAGTGTCTGCCGCTGAACTGCACATGTGAAGATCGTTGAAATGGCAAATGTTGTGTTAGCACACAAAAAAAGAAAGAAAGAGAAGAAAAAAATCATAATCTAAAGAGGAGGGCCTGAGCTCAGTTGGGTTGGATTTGGAAGAACACTCCGGAAGACAGTAAGAATCAGGGGCAAATCACATGGGAAAGATTTGGCCACAGTTGGAGACTTACAGTTCAGCAACGAAAGGAAACTGTTGCTCATCCTTAAAAACAAGTCCTTCTGATGATATGAACCTGCCCAAGGCTTATTTGCACTGTCTTTACAACCTGAAATACAAGAAAACTGAACTGTATCACAAGAAGTTAGTCAACGGCTAGTTTCAACATTACCAAGATATTTGCAACTGCAAATTTACCTGACAAATAGCATGCATACCCTTGAAGGTACAGGGCAGCTGCCTGAATTTATTTTTTA